ATTGTGTGTTGTTCGTTTTTTTTTTTTTTTTTTTTTTTTTTTGTGTGTGTGTGTTCTGTTTGCTGCGACCGTCAGTTTTTAATTTTTCTGTAGTGAGACCCCTTCAAGTGTGTACCACGTGAGGAATGTGTGGGCACGACTTGGACGCCCTCTTCTCTGGGCCGCCTACTGTTGCAGTCGCCACCACAGACACGGGGATCCTGGCAATGCCGGCCGCCTCAGCCTGGCGCCAGGGTCAGTTGCCCCGTATTTTCGGGGGAAGCCAGGAGCCAGCACTGTTTTCCTCACGGGGTCATTGTTTTTGGCGCAGGGCTGACGGCATTCGACCAGCGGCGTATTGCCAGGGCACAGTTTTGACACCATGAGATCTGCGGGCGTGCGTTACATGGCATGCGGGCCGTCAGCATTAGGGACACGGGACAATTCAGTGCAGGAAGGTCGAGGGAAGCGACAGCAAGGCGAGGGAAAACGAAGGCGGAGCAAGCATTCGGGTATGAAAAACGATAAAAGTAAGGGGGAGTGCGAAATCGCAAGCGAACACTTTTTTTTGTTATTGGTGATGTTATCCTTCTTCCTTTTTTTTTTTTTTTTTTCCCTTGGGCACTTGAAATGTGTCGATCAGGGGCGTTGACTCTACTTTCCCTCGCTGCATCCATCCAAAAGGGACGCTGTCACGCTGCGGCAGCAGGAGGGCCGCGCGGCCAAAGAGAGACGATGTTCCGGTGGGAAGAAAAGGCACGTGCCAAACCGTCCTGGTGCGCTCATGCGGCGGTCGCGCCCAGGGAAAAGAGGAGAAAGAAAAAAAATCCCACATCTGCTCTCTTGGTGAGTATGCACCGTTTGTGTGCTGTGAAAAAAGAGGGGAGTATATAAAAAAGAGGGGAAAAGAAAACCCGCAACGCATATGACCGAAGACAAGAGCTCCAAGAAAAAAAAAAAAAAAGGAAGTTTTTTTTTTTACAAATTTTTTTTTTTTTTGTTTCTTTCGTCTGGACCTTTTTTTTTCTATCTGCGTATATGTGCCCGCATGTCGTTTTGTTTGGGCTGGAGCCGCGTAAGTGTTGCATCCAACATTTCCCGTGCATCTTCTTTTTCTCCACATGTGCCATGGATAGCGTCCTACATTTATATTTATATTTATATTTATTAGTATATACACATACCTTTTTTTTTTTTTTTTGGGGATTTTTTTTTTTGTTTGCGATTTTTTGCTTTTTTTTTTTTTTTTTTTTATTTTATTCTGTCTTTCTGTATTTTGATTTATTATTAATATTGTTTTTTTTCTTTCTTTCTTTTTCATTGCGTGTGTGTGTGTGTGCTTTTCCGTCAGCATTAATTACCCACCCGCAGTGTTTTCTTTTTTTTGGCGCAGGTGCAATTCTTGTGTGCATGGGATATGCAAAAAAGGTGCGGTGCGATGCGGGGAGGACGAGACGTGAGAAAAGAAACAAAACAAAAAAAAAAAAAAGGAAAAAAAAAACCCTGCAGTTTTCACTTGCGCACTTCGCCCTCCCCCCTCCCAACGGAACACGCATTGGTGCTGCAAACGGTTTGTTTGCCCCCTTTTTTTTGGCTAGCGGGTGTGTGTGTGTGGTGGCACCTTTCCCGCACAGCCGTGGCTGAGGTCCCTTCCATTTCAAATGTTTGCTCGCAGGGAGAAAACTCGGAGGCCACAAGAAACCAAATATAACCAGAGAGCGGAGAAGTTAAGAGGAAAAAAAAAAAAAAAGGGGGAGGGGTGGGAAAGAAGAGATAATAATGAAGGCATAATTTTCTCAATCGGCTACAGTCCGGCACGTACAGGAAACAGCGTGCAGGAGGATAGGTTATAATGCTTGTTGCTTAAGACTCCCAATATGTTCACCGTGGACACATTTTATTTAAATGAATCCCGCATGAAGTGTTTGTTCACAAATAATAATAACATTGAAAACGGAAAACAAAAAAAAGGATGAAAGAAAAAAAAAAAAATCGTATGGATTAGCCCTATTGTCGCCACCTCCATAAGAAAACAATAACAAAAAAAAAAAAAAAAGCAAGAAAACAGTGTTATGACGAGAGTTTACAAACAAGTCTACAACCATCAATGCTAAACGCGAACCCGTTGGATGCTGCACCTGGTGCTGTATCTCATCTTTCTTTCTTATTGACTTTTTATCTCGTGCCGCGTGCTGCCCGCTCACTGCTCCTCCTGCCCCTTCCCTGTGTGTTGTCTTTGTGTTTGGTGAAGATCCTGCTGAGAGTGCACGAAAGGAATTTAAGAACGCAAAACATGTCTGACGCTGCCGTTCCGCCCAAGAAGGCCTCGCCGAAGAAGGCAGCGGCTAAGAAGCCTGCCGCCAAGAAGACTGCTAAGAAACCAGCCGCGAAGAAGCCTGCTGCGAAGAAGAGGGCCGCCCCCAAGAAGAAGCCTGCAGCAGCCAAGAAAGCTGTTAATAAGAGTGCCAAGAAGCATGCGGCAAAGAAGGCACCCAAGAAAGCCGTGAAGAAGGCGCCGAAGAAGAAGTAGGGATTTATTTTGGTTCAACCGTGCGTTGTCGCGATCCATGTCGCTGGCGCACCTGGTAAATAACGATATGAACTCGTCACCGGTGGAGACGATGGCATGCCCGTTTTTCCATTACTAGAACTTTTGTTTTGTTTTTATTTTTGTTTGTTTTTGTTTCTCATCCCCAGTGCTGGGGGCTGCAGCAACCCTTCTTCCGTGTGTGCATTCGCGACGGTGTTATGACTATGTTTTTGAAAGGTTGACGGTGCTTTTTTTTTTTTTTTTTTTTTTGGCTAGTCGACGTTCTTTCTGCTTTGGTTGTTTTTATCTGTTTTTTATCTGAATGCTTTTTTTTTGGTACGTGTTTTTTTTTTTTTTTTTTTTTTTTTTTTTGATTTTTTGTGACGTAGGGAAGGGAAGGGGTGGTGTTATGAGGGTTTCTTTGTTATGTGGGTTCAGTCACGTTTGTTATGTAGGGTTAGCAAAGATAATTTACTGAGTTTCTACTATCGTTGCGTGCAGTTTGTCCCACATCCGTTGAAGCAGGAGAGTGGGGGTGAGGACGCCTTTCTCTCTCTCGTTGGCGTGCAGGCGGTGTTAGATGGGGTGAGCTGGTGGAAAGAAAATACTGCTGTGGATGCGGGGTTGTATAGTGCGGCTCTTGCTCGAGCGATGTATACTTACGTTGAGGAGGAGTTGTTGGGGGATAATCCTTCTTCTTCATTAGCATTGCTGCAGAAGGCTTACGATGCATGTAAGGCTGATGAGATTGAGGGTACGTCAACGGCATTGGTGGCGACACTTCAGCCCCCAACTGAGGAGGAGGTTGCCTTAATGGGTTTGGAGGACAGACACAAGAACTGTATTTTAGATATTTGTAGTGTGGGGGATTGCACGGCATTGATAGTTCGACGAGGCAGGATTGTTTTTATAACTGAGGAACAAACTCATGACTTGGATTTTCCGTATCAATTGGGTCAGGGGAGCAGTGACACACCTTGCCGGGGCTTGAAGTACCGTTTCCCCGTTGAGTGTGGCGATGTACTCTTTTTGGGTAGTGATGGTGTTTTTGATAATCTTTTTCCACATCGTGTTGCAGAGTTGATGTGGAAAGTGCTGAATAATGTTTGCTTGCGTCATTTTTCGGGGGTACCAGGGAACTGGGGAAGGGTGGAGCTCTTTGAGAACACGATGCACGCTCTCGCGAGGGGTTCCGAGGATGTCATACGGGAGGCCTGGAATTGTGCGAGAGACATCCATTCCGATACACCGTATGCCCGCAAGGCGGTGGCGGGGGGTGCCTATTACGAGGGCGGGAAACAAGACGACATGACACTTTTGGTTTCTGTCATAGACCAGGAGAGGGACGCGGGATCTGGCGACCGCATTGTCCGTGGCGCCGTGATGAACCCTTATCCATACAGGGATTGGCCATGAGAAGGAGTGGAGGAGGGAGATGGAAGTGTGCAGGTAAGAATGAATGAATGGGCGAGAAGGGGAAAGGTTCAGGAGACGCCGAGAAAAGAAGAAATTGCGGAAGCTGAAAAGAAAAATGAGAGGCGCGGTCAATTGTTGTTGAGAGAAGGGCCTCCATAGCCAAGAGACGAGAAAAACCAAAACGGGTGAAAAGAAACAAGGAAGAAAAGAAAAAAATTTTCCAGGAGGACGTGTTTTGGACACAATTACGTTTGTGTTGGCTCTGAATTTTCCTGGTGGGGGGTCGAAAAGGTGTTCTTCCGATGTAACGGTTTGCATAATGATATACGTGCCCACGTTTTTAGATGTTTATTTTATTTTTTTTACTTTTTGACTTCCGTAGTTTGGGGTTTAACGGGAAAACGAAAATAATGAGGAAGCCATGACGTTGTGGGTGTAAAATGTGCATGTGCATGCGGCGAGTGAATGGTCACGAGAGGTGAGGGGAAGGTGCTGCAAATTTTGTTTGTCTTCCCACCTCCTCTTATTTGGTTCTTGTTTTATGTTTTTGCGTGTTTCCCTGTTGGTAGTTCAACATTTGTTGGCTGCATTTATATATTTTTTCGTCTTTTATGCCATCTAGCGTCATCTCTTTGTTGCCGAGTGGGTGGGCGTTTCCCTGAAACGAGGGGGGAACGTACTGCCTGCATTGGGCTACTTGTGGCGCAGAAGTGGTGGAGAGGTCTTCTGAGGGGGGATGAACGCATTGAGGATTCCCTCGTGTAGTGGCAGAATTAACACATGAGAGTTGAGCAAAAATAAA